GCACGTCAAGATGTCCTTATCTGCATTGATACATTCTATCTTAATATCATAGCCACGAACAGCCAGTGACTGGAGTGACACTTCATATACCTCGACAACTTTATCCACTGTCCCATACATTTGTTCGATAGAGCGCCTTTCTTGCCGTATTGGTTTCAGTTTTAGCTCAGTAACAAGATCACTACAGATGTATGAACTACTTGCCCCAGTGTCGATCATAACTCGTACCTTTTTGTCCCCAATCTTGGCATGCAATGTCGGGTGTACAGTAGGTTGATTACTTTGGGCTGCCCCAAGAGCCTTATCAGTTTTTTCACGTCCAAGTTCATCCACACCTGCTTCTCGTTGAATACCTGCATAACCCTTTTCTCCTTTGCTATTATTCATCCCATCCATTGAGGATGGTCTCTTCTATTGACAAATTGAAGTGTGATGCTTTTGTCCGCATTTATGACAACCTTGTGCCCTACATGTCGAAGCTCGATGGCCTGGGGTCGCACAATTGTAACAGGAATTCTTTTGCTTTAGAATCTCACGTCGCTTAGCAACATCTAATATCTTCGTACAATTGATAGCTGTATGTTCCTTTGACTCACAGTAAATACATTGCTTTTTCTTGTTTCTTTCACCGTCATTACCAAAGAGTAATTTTTCACGATCACTCCAACGACCTCTTTTCTTCCAATCTTGTTTTCCAGATGCTTCATTCTCTTCTGCACGAATAGGGTTTCGATTTACAAACTTGTGTAAGTGCTCCACTAGTTCGGTTAATCCCCAGTTTTCCCACTCGTCATCCTTTTGCACCAGGACCTCTCGCATAGGGCCTAGTTTGTCCATTAATGTGTACACCGCACTTTGCGCTGTTTGCAATTTTCCCATCGTTGTAAGAGATCTAACAATTCTTGACAGCTTATTGTAAAAATCATGAATCAAATTGAGTTTGTGGATGCTGGTAATAGTGTGAAGACTTTCCAAATCTTTTATGAGTGCTTTGTGGACTTTTGTATCCTTGCCATAGTTTTCTATAAGTATCTTCTTTGCTTCCTTGTAACCATCTGATGTATGGGGTAAACCCAAAATGTCCTCTCGGGGTTTCCCTTTTACTAACTCTAACAGATAGTGAAATTTGCTCACCTCCGAAATGTTGATGTCGTTGACTTCTACTGTAAACTGGTTCCAGAATCTCAGCCAGTCCATGTAATCCCCAGTAAATGGTGTTATAGTGTACTTTTCCAGCTTGACTGTAGATCGAGTTTCGTTTGTCGTGCCAGCTGTTACACTCCCTGTTGCTTCACTTTGCATTTGCATTTGCAGTTCTACTTTCTTCTTTAACCATTCTTCTTCAGCTTGTTGTTTCCTTATCATCATCTCTTGAAGTTCCTTTTCTTGTTGTAATTGAAATTTCAGTTGCTCATCATTAATCTTCTTTTTATTCTCAAGTTCCCCCTGAATTGCTTCTTCCTGTTGTTGCACTTTTAATTTGTCCATTTGTTGTTTGCAGTTGTCCCTTGCTTTACGAAAGCACAGAATGCATTCCTTTTGTTTATCTGCCCATTCTTTTAGTGTTTCCAAATCCGAGTCATTTTCCATCATATATTGCATAGTGTTGTCCTTGGATAGTTCAAGTCGTTTTATGATTTCCCCAAGTTTCCCATACGCCATGACTGTATCATCCAGATTGTTCGTTGCTATAAGGTCTTCAGCCTCCGACAAGTTTATTTTCGCAAGTGCCACCTGTTTGTCATGTTTTGCTTCAGTTGCCATATTGTCTCAAATACAGTACCGACTGTTGAGTAAAGTGTGCGAAATTCAAAACTCAATCTAATTTTGTTGTAACAATATGTCAGTTTGTTGTTTATTATATGCTCCCCTCTTTGGAAATCCACAACATTAAATGTAATAGTATTAAAAACCAAGTTCCAAGTTATTTATCACTTCACTGTATTGATATCTTGAATTTAAGCAATGTTATACTCCACTGTCAACGCTCCAGTCCATATAAAACCCAATATTAAAAGATTGTTACTCATGTACGTGATGTAAGACAAACGTTATGTCCCCAAATATCTTGTTGTCGACAAAATATATAAACACCGATTTCCAATGAAAAATAGTCAAGTTAATCCAAAACTGTGTAGTTTTTAAACGATATAATGAGAACCCACGATAAATAAACGCTTTAGTAATTGAAATATATCCACAAAATTAATAGAAAATGTACTCACAGTTCCATATCCACTGCTAATTCCCACAAACAATCCTTCGCAATCCGATCGTAAATATAAAACAAATGATGAAATTTCCCGTTAATTATCCTGCCAATGGGTCGCCACTTTCAGTGTGGTGAATTCCGGTCCGTTCACACTGAATAAATCACATTTTTGAGTTATTTTTACTTCTTTATTTAAAACTAAATAATATCATAAAAGTTCTCGAACACACCACAAACACGATTTTTTAACATCACTCGTTACCAGTTCTCCTGTGAGCGCTTAACAGAATATTAATAATATTAACTAATGATAATATCATCAGCGATTTTCTACAGTGTAGCCCAATCATTGTAAAAATTCAAATGTATCTACAACATATTTAATTTATATAATATGAAAATTCTACCTTCTTTTTCTCTTTTGTACATATAGTATATATACGTCAAAACTTTCTGATTTTACACATTGTATTGATTGACTGTAAATAATTGATTATGTAATCTATCACAAATGAACAGTAACTAGAGGCCTAAATAAAAAAGTCTATCAAGATTTCTAGTAGGTCTCTAGCCCAAAATCTTTAAATTATTGTAACATATTTTAAGTAGGTTTTTTTTATATATATACATGGGAAAACAATTGAATAAATATTTAAATAAATACTTGTTCCTAACACACTAACAGTTTCTCCCTCTTTGGGATAGATTGGAACATCCACATATTTTAGCAATTCCTGTTTCTTGAAATCAATGCAGAGAAAACATCCTGGATTATTTGACATGTTGGTTGGATACTGTCCTGGACATAATTGCGAGGAATACTTTGCTGTGTCTGTGTCCACTGATGGTAGGCAATGTTACCATTAACATAGGTTGGGATGTAGTATATCCTGTTTACAATGTAATAGTTGTTGTCCACTGGTCCAACTTCGAAAATGGTAGATATCTCCAGAATCCATTCTTGATCACCATTAGCAGAAGTGACGTTACAAGTTGTTCCTAAACTACACCACTTCACCACATTCATCCCTTAGGACAACACCTTAGAGACATTACAACATCAGGAATATCTTGTGCGGCTATACCCTTTGCAATGGAAATATCTATAGAGGTCTGCAATTACATGATCTTCAATCAGCTCTTTCTTGGCAAGTCCTACTGGTATGCCATAAGAAATGGCATGCTGCAAGGCAAGTGAGGGATTATGCAGATTTTGTATGTCGTACAGTAGCACTTCAGCTGCAGGAAAGCTAGATTCATGGAAAGAAATGGGTGGTGTTGCCCCTTGCAAATCAAACTTCAGTTAGGGTTGTGGAGACCATATTGAGACAACAGTCCATTCTTTTCTTGGTAATTGTCAAGAAAATACTTAAGATGTTCTCGATTGGAAAATTCTTTCTAGGCCCTTTGCATTGTGTGATTGTCCTTTGTGTGTCAAAATAGCTCGTTCATATTTAAAATTCACATGAATAATTATCCATTGCTGAATGGCGTCTAATATCTTCAACAGCATGTATTGAATATTCTAAATTTTCAGTACAAATTCCAAGCCCATAAAACTCAGTTTTAATAGCATGGGCCCAAAATAGCTTCTCCAATCTTTCAATATGCTCAAGTTGCCAACCGGTAACCCAAAGTTGCTTTACTGTATTAAAAGCATCTGTACTGCATCACACAACAACATATAGAAGTCATATGTATTCAATGAAACTTTTTGAGCCAGAACTTCCTTAGCAACAATACTAAACCTTAAATGAGACAAAATATTTAATTACTAAAGTCAACATTTTCAGAAATGTATAGTCAGTCCAATACTACAGTAAGCTACTGCTTGCAGTCATTATTTATTTTCTTTTCTTAGGAGATTTTTCTTTTCTTATAATAAAACAACTCAATGTGCTCACCTTATACTGTATACCAGTGTCTGAAAAATATGCCCAGTATCCCGATATCCTCAAGAGAACTTCAAACAACAGTAAAATACTAAGCACTTCTGCTGGTCTCCTGATAGCTTTTGAATACTGTGAGTTTCCCCATGAGAACTTGCATATAGAAGTTTGCTGAAGGATTATGTGCATTTTAGTGTATTAATGAATTGTCTAGTTGTTGACTGTTGAGTCCTCTGTTTCTATTTCAATTTGTAAGAGTGAGAGTTATAGAAACTTATTCGGATGGGACAGGGTATAATACAGGGTAGGCGTCCATCCATGCATGCAAAACATTACATTTGACAAATGTTGCTGTGTTTCAGGCAACTTTCTGCTGGCACAAATGCCGTTGACACACAGCGCGAGCAAAGCCGCCAATTTATTTTTTTTTAAATTACGTTTGTTATTTATTAAACCCATCGCAATCTCATCACGCAATCTGATTCTTGTACTATGTGGTAGTTACAAATTTGACTTGGCAAGCTCATTAGTCATCTTTGCCTTATCCCAACTTGACATACCAGTATGTTGTAAGCAATACATAACCGTATGAACGCTTGCTTGTTATAAACAATTACAAAACCTTTCTCTTGGAATTGGGGAAGAAATGCAAATAACCTTGCATGAGATGTGTTTTTTTTCAGCAGATGCATCTTGCTCTATGTAGGCTAAATAGACATTTTGGTTTTTTCGTGCGCTTTTTCCTTTCTTTGCATAACAGCATGCCCTCTTAATCTAATCTAACATATCTGGTAATAATTTCTTTAAATATTTCTTGAATCAATTTCTATAAAAAAACGCAGTATTTCACACAATGTGACCCAATTCAACAAAATAAAAATGGCCAGACGGATAATAATAGTAAGGCAAAAACAACATGAGTAGTTTTATTGCACTTTGGTCAAATGTACATTAACTACGAAGTATGATTAGCATTTCTATGGTCAAAGTACGATTAGCGTTAACCCTGGGTTAAAATTTAACTTGCTGTTTGAGTATGTGTGTTTCTACACATAACACACCTATTGATCCTGATAAGATTTATGGAAAGTTTTGAAAGGTATAAACAAGTCATTGGATAATTTATTTTGAAGTTTTCATTTACTTTGGATCAAGCTAACAGGCTTTCAAACAACTCCCCCAGGATATTTATAAATAATCTCAATAGTATTACTATTTTACATGTAAATCTATACAGGCCTCTGAATTAGCGGGAAATCAGGTCGGCAAATTTAAGTTTCAATAAAATGTGCCAGCAGTAATAATGCTGACACTTACTTTGATTACTAACCAGTAATTACTGTATTGTAATTTATTAAGTATATTTGCAAGTTGCAGTTAATTGGAAAGGCTTTGATTTCAAACTAAAATAAGTAAAGATTTTGTTCTAATTAGATTGTTTATGGCATTGATTGATTACATGAAATATTCAACGTCATACATAAACGTGGTACGTTTTGCTATGAAAATCCCTTCGCATTATTGATATTGTGAAAGACATTATACATACACTTTCTTTAAAGTTTAAATATATATTATATAAGAATATCTCTCTACCTGTATTTTTCTTTACTGTAAGTTTGCATCGGAAAAGTATAGTTGCAAGTCGTCAATTTTTTGCCATCCTGACATGACGATAGTTGGGTTGGCATTTGCCGATTTCCAACCTGAATTCAGATGCCTGCTATTATCTTTCTAACTCATTCGTAGGAGTTCTGTGTTTAACAGTATCTCTCTTTGAAAAATGCTTGCCAATATGAGCTAGTAAAATTGTTGTCCATACCCACCTTGTCTCCAGCATTCTCCATGTTGAATAACAGGCTGAATTTGTCCTTCAAATCTTTATCACTGTTGATCTTAATCAGTGCGGCTTACAGCATTTGCCCTTGTTCATGGAGCAGATGGTACTGGTTGATTTGATCAACTCTTTGCTGTTCCAATAGCAGAAAGAATGCATGAGCTGCATCACTGATATGGAGCAATCCTCGGGAATGGAATTGTCTTGACTCAACAACATTCAATGTTCCACTAGCTTCCGTATCATTCTCAAGTGATTGAAATGGAACAATTGTATTGTTTTTCAATATTTCCATATGGCGAAGTTCTGCAGCGAGTCTTGCTTGTGACAGTAGAAAACTTATTGTCCTTTAAGGGGGAGTACACCTGAAATTTTATATGTATAACATGTATACTATATATTGTGGTACATGACGGCCGTGCATTGTTATTACATTGTGGGCTCCTGTTTGAATTTAAGTCTGATATTTGTTGATGCAATGAAGTGTGTATGTTGATGTTGAAGCAAAAAACAATGCGAATTGAGGGCCAAGAAATGTATCTCTTCTTCAAATTTATACAATGACCAGTACGAAGAGTAGATCTTCTTAATACAAGTGAAAAAAGAAGGAAAGGAGTTTTCCTGGTAAGGAAAGGCACCAAGATCGTGACTCAACATGAGATCAAAATATGAGTAATGATTATCCCATGTGTGAATTTACAAACAGACAATGTTGATGGCCCAAACCAATATAATGTTATTGGTTTGGCCCAAACCAATATAATGTTATTGGTTTAATATATTAAATTTAAAACTGGTTTAATATAACATATGGTTTAAATTGCACTTCTGCAAACCCCTTTTATTTCTATTCTGCAACAAAAGTTGTATATATTTGTTGTGTAACATGTAAACAATTACAATATACAGTACATATGTGTCAATAGTTTTAAAAATTGAAAAAATAGAGGATGCGTAGCCAGGTTGAAATACAATTTATTTATTAAACGTTCTCTGACTAAATATTTATTTCTACGAGCTTTCGGCTATCAGTCTATAGCCTTCGACGGGTGTATACAAATGATTCTATAAAGGACGCTAAACTTAAGTAGGTGGTATGAAATATGAGACTGTCTATGCTATGTTACAAATGAGGAATATAAATATTTAATTAATGTTTCTTGAGTTCCTTTCTTAAAAGTATTGTGTATTGTGCTGGAAGCGTATTAGAGTTATTATCAGCTTGGTCTGTTAGTGCAGTGTGCCAGGACTCTAAGGTTTTAAGGTTCCTATGATTTCCCTTGTCTATTACTTTAGCATTGGCAAAGTCAATAATATGATCTTGAGTCCATGCGTGTTTCGTGACATTCGACCCCTTCTTGCTTTGTTTCACATTCCTCACGTGTTCGGACTTTCTCGTCTTCAGGGATCTTCCTGTTTCGCCTATGTAGCTCCAACTGCAATCTTGACACGGTATCTGGTAGACCACGTTCTTCTGCTCTTCTGTTGGTGGTTTCTGTTTTGCAGATGGGAATTGGCATTCGAGGGTTTTCATTGGCTTATTATAAACTTTAATGTCATGTTTTTGGAG